TATGTTACTATCTCATGGGAAATTACAGGGATACATATATTGCCAAAGAAGAAATCGTAATATTTAGAACGTAAGCCACATCAGTCTCACCTGGTTTTCATGCGGTTTCTCTATCCTGGTAGAATTGGAATTTGGAGATGTTGGTTTTAGTGGAGGAAGGAAAACCGGAGAACCCGGAGAAAAACCTTTAGAGCAAGGCGTGAACGTAACCAACGACAAACTGAACCCACATATCATGGCACCGGGTCGGAATAGAACTTGGCTCTCGGTCAGTGGGGCGATCGAAAAAGCGGGCGGGCGACAAGCGGAATCAGCTACGAGCGCCGGGACCTCTTCTTTTCTCTCACAGAACCCGCTCGTCGCCCGACGGCTTTTCCGATCGTCCCCACTGACCGAGAGCCTGGAACAGGCTAGGGCCACGATAGTGGGAGGCCGGCGAAAGCTCTCACCATTGCGCTATCCACGCTGGTGAATATGAAAGCCAAGGTCAAGTAAAGTAAAGTAAATCTTCATTTCTACAGGGTGGCCCATTCTGCTTGAAGGCTGCTATCCATAGGGGCCTTCATTTACACCCCTAAACGAGACGACTAGCTTCCCCGCGCAAACATCCAATACTCCGCGTTAGCGCGAGAAGGATTGAAATTTTTGGCGCTGGCACTAGCAGTCCTTCCATTTCGATTGTTTGTTCAGACACTCAGTCTTCAAACAGTTTCTAGACTTCTTCTGTGTTTTTTACGGTGTTTCCTTTACATCATATTTGAATTTTCTGTCAGTTTTGTTGTCGAAAATGCTCGATGTATAAACTGCATGTACTCGAGGCGATATCTTATAGTCGTCTCTCAGAAAAGTGGAAGATCGTAAAATGTATAAAACGTGTTTTATATCTATTATATGTCTTCGACGTAGTTAGTTCGTCTTCCTTGATTAATATGGCCACCTACGACGAATTAAGGCTCTGTCCACACGCCAGAGGAATCTGAAAACGGAGGTTTATTTCTACGGTCAGGCCTACCGTCCACACTAATCCGTCACGATAACGGAACTTTTCATAAGCGCTCTTCAAACCAGCGGAATTTGAAAACGCCGGCTTTGCGTTTTGGTGTGGAGGGAAAACATTTTGAAAACGTTCAGTTTTGAAAACGATGACGTCACCAGAATCACGTGATTTCCCTGGCCGAGTTTGCCAAAATGACTGGTGATTGCTGAGCTTTTTAAATTCGTCCGGCGTACTGTGGACGGAAAATAGTTGATGCGTTTTCAGAGTAAAACCTCCGTTTTCAAATTCCTCCGGCGTGGTGTGGGCGGGGCCCAAGTCACAAAAAGGTACTGCGCAGAAAGTTTCTAAAAGTAGTTTTCTTTTCTTTTTGTTCCAATAAAAAATATTAGCTTCATTTACAGCAAATTAAGTTATAGAACTTAGCCTCAAGTTTCTGAGTGCTTTTTATCTTCTGATAGAAAAGTAAAAGGAAAGTTTGTTTGGTAGATCTGGTAATGTGATTATGGAAAGAAAAAAATGGTTGTGAGAAAAATATCCTAAGACAATGTACAAATCTATAACATTAAAATTGTGACTGCTGTTCAACAGTAATTGAGACCGATCGCGAATGCCTGTTTTTTTGCGTCTAAAAAGCTGTTTTTTCGCTCATATTTTCATGTTCAGTTTACAACGAAATCCGATCGGAAATCCAGTAAGTTCAGTTTTTATTGGGCAAAAACCATGTACCAGAATAACGTTTAGTATATTACAGTCCTTTTCTGGAATTTTTAAAAGCTAAAGATATAAATAGTTGCCTAAAATAACAACAAAAACAATTTCCCATGGGAACTTGAGGAAATAAATTTAAAAGTTCAGAGAATTTTGCGAACACGGGTAAAATTTCATCATCAGTTTCATTTCAGCGGTACTTAATTTGTTTCTAAGGAAATTCAAAATTTGCTTTCGACATTAGGTGTTGTTAGAAATGATTTCTTTTGAGAATATATTTAAAACAGTCGCACGCACAGAAGTTTCCAATACAATCTCGGATAAAAGTTTTTGTCCACTTGTTACTCGAACTTGTGGTGGGTTCCTCCTTAAGTTGCCATGGTGACGACGTAAACAAGCCAGGAGTCCACACATGTGACGGAAACCGGCTATGCAAAATTCCAGACAAGCATTCATTTTCTTATAAACCAATTGTAAAAAATGCTTTAGAACACAAAGGCGAGTGCACAATTAGCTTCCATAGCTATCCCTGTGGATTAATTATATATGCCTCTTTGTTTGAAAGCTTTTTTCTTCGCTTTGTTATCGAATTGAATAGTTGAAGGTTTAGTGCCGAAACGTGTTTGACGCAAGAAATGGCAAACAATAATGATCACGTTACCGATTTCAATAAACAGAAGGTGGTTGAACTTACTGAAACTGCACGAAAGAACACTTGTAATTGTTTGAGAGATGTCTGCTTCAGGTGCAAAAAGGGGAACTGTGAGTCTTTCTGGTAGAAATCCACACAAGTTTAAGGTAGGAATAGCTTCTAAACTAGAAACGAAAGAGGTGTTCCAACTGAAGTCGGCTACAAACCGCAGTGATGTTCATGACCAGCTCGACGAGGCTTCCATCGTTGACAGTGATTTTTCAACTGGAAAGTTGTTTTACGAGAACACATACAAACTTCAACCTGACAAGAAGATGCCAACGAAGACGGTGGAAGCGGCGGTTGAAAATGTTTTGAGAGAGCAATTCATGAACGAAGCATACGAAAGTTCCAAGTGCAAGAAGAACTGCCAGGGCATTTGTGAGTTCATCAAAGAAAAAGTCAAGGCGCTGATTAGTCCGCGGTTTAAACTGGTTGTCGTTGTTCTTGTAGGCGAAAAGAAAGGCCAAGGAGTGCAAATTACGAGCAGGTGTGCATGGAATGAGAACTTTGACGATTTTGTTACTGTCTCCTTCACGAATTCGACCCTCTTTGTTCAAGCAACGGTTTACGCTTTATACGTGGAATAACCACGACTGAAACAGTAATTTTATGGGCCTAATGTCGGGTCTGGATGATATAGAAGTATTTCGATGCTGCCGCGGACTTTGTGATGCAGCGGAAAGTTTCTTTCCAATGTTATATATGTGTGTAGGTATTTGTAATTGCATTATTTATTTTTAACCATTGCTTCAAAAATATTTCCTTTGAGAACACAGAGAAGATATAAAATAAACACAAGCGCCAATGGGTTCCAGTCTGCCATACGGGAATATGGATGGCTGAGACTGGAGACAAATTCGAAGATTAAGATAAGATAGCCAAAGTAATAAATGGCAAACTTTAAAATTTTCAGCCACGCTTCTTCCTGAGTCATCCGTGATGTAGTTTCTTAAGAGACTCTGCTTAAGAAACTCTTGGTCAGCCACTTAATTCCTCTATGTTTTTCCCGCACGTTCATATAATCGTCCTTGGGAGAGTTTGCATTGTCATCAGTACTTTCTCTTTCTTAGCATATAGCCATAATTAGCATTTTGACTGTCGCAGACGTCCTGTTTTAGTCGGTAAGTGGTACAGTGAAGAGAAAATAGAACTGAATATATGTAAGTGTACTTGATTACATCTAATAAAGATTGTCCGTAAATCTTTGAAAAGCATTACAACGTAACCGTATTTTCCATCATGATTGTATCTAAATTATCATCATTAATTGATCATCAACTTTCAAAGATGTCGTGAACAACACTTGAAAACGCCAGAGTGATTAACTGCCATGAATATATGATCAAGTACAAGAAGACTGTGAATGAATTCATCAGATAGGTTTAAATTAAATAAATGCGCGCAATTAGTTTTAAGCAAGGTCACTTCAATTCAGTCATAGTTTATTTTACAGCAGAAACAATGTGACTCCTGATTACAAAAAGTAAACACATTATTTATTTGAAACAACTATGGACAAACTGCGTTAGATGTGCAAAAACATGAATAAAATCATAACGTGACCGTAACACCTACAGAATAAGTGTTAGCCCATTTTCCCTTTTAAGGTTACCGTAAACCTTCGCGGGTGTCCTTAGCGAAAAAAAAATATTACCGCGTTGTCTTAAAGACAACCACTACAAATTATATATCAATGCAAAGGTTATAGAATGCTCTATTCGGTGAAAATTGTTTTGCCTCAATT